TAGAGGCTCAGTACTCAAATTCCTGCACAGGTGGGGTCCAGCCAGCCTGCCCTGATCGGGGCCAATCTGGCTGGGCCAGCTGGGGGGAGGGAAGGTGGAAAGTTGGCCATCTGGCCCACCCCAATTGGAGTGGAAGGAGATAACTGGGGGCGGGGCTGGCTTGGGGTAGAGGCTGCAGGCAGTTGGCAGGCCAGTCCTGCACCTTTGTAATCTTTTTAAATCCTGGTCAAGGGGACAATTTGCATATTACCTTTTATTATATAGGATAATTCATTAAAAAGCTGGTTCTTAACATGGGGTTTGAACTGCATAGGTCCACTTATTCAGGTTTCGCCCCCAATAGATATATTTCATATCCCAGGGTATTGGACCTGTAGATTTAATCAGAGATGCAGAGAGTCTAGTGTATGCATTGTTCTATGCCATCCTATCTAATAAGAGTAATATGCAAATTAACCATCATTCTGCTACACTCACAAGCCATGCCCACCATCTAATCAGGAGTGGATATGCAAATAAACCCAACCAAGATGGCTATGGCCCTAGAGAGCAGGAGGGAGGCTTGGGTTTCCATGGCAATGAAGGAAGCCAAGCTTTCTGCACACCCTGGCCAGCCCAGGCCACAGCTTAAGGCTACAAAGATTCAACTATAGAAGATACATAAATCCCATAAAAAATGGCTGCCTCCATGGAGCAAGCAGGATGCTTGACTCCACTCTAAGCTACAAAGTTTCAGTTGTAGAAGATAAATAAACCCCAGATACCAGAGTCTCCACTTGGGTCACCAGGGGGTGTGGCCAGCCTGCAAACTACCACAGGCCCCTTGTTTAGGCCACTCTAGGCCCCAAGGGAACCCCCACTCTGATCCGGGACATTCTTTAGAGCAAGTCAGCTGGCCCCCACCCATTCAACAGACCTCTATCCTATCTAATAAAATAGTAATATGCAGATTGACCATCACTCCAACACACAACAAGGCTGCCTCCATGTGGTCAAATATGGCTGCCTGCATATGGACACAAGATGGTCACTACAAGATGGCCAGCAGGGGAGGGAAGTTGGGAAGGACCAGGCCTGCAAGGGAGGGCAGTTGGGGTCAATCAAGCTTGCAGGGGAGGGCAGTTAGGGGTGACCAAGCCAGCAGAGGAGGAAAGTTGGGGAGACCAGAGCTGTAAAGAAGGGAAACTGGGAAGAACCCAGACCTGCAAGGGGAGAGCAGTTGGGGGGAGGGGGGGAATCAGGCCTGAAGGGGAGGGCAGTTAGGGGCAAATAGGCTGGCAGAGGAGCAGATAGGCATCAATCAGGCTGGCAGGGGAGTGGTTAGGGAGTGATCAGGCTGGCAGGCAGAAGCGGTTAGGGGCAATTAGGAAGGCAGGCAGGCAAGCAGTTGGGAGCCAACAGTCCCAGATTGGAGAGGGTGCAGGCTGGGCTGAGGGACACCGCCCCCCCAGCATGATTTTCATGCACCAGGCCTCTAGTTTTATATAAGGGACTTGAGCATTTATGGATTTTGTTATCAATGGGGGTCCTGTAATCTTTTCCCTGTGGAAACTAAGGGATGATTATAGTTAATTTGTGTGTGTGTGTGTGGCGGGTGGGGGAGTCAAATGTTACACAGATTTTCAACTGTGCAGGGGTTGGCACCAAAGGGCAGCTGGATTATATATCCATGTATATAAAGGATATATATATATATATCTTTGTAATCTTAAAATTTTTTTTAAGACTTTCTCTTTCATTCATGGATTATTTAGAAGTATGTTATCTGGAAGTGTTTGGAAATTTTCCTATTGCTTTTCTTTTATTGATTTATAGTTTTATTCCATTATTGTCTCATGTGAGGGCACAGTCCACAAAAGTACTCCCTTATTTCTGACACCAATTCCCTTATTTCTGACACCAATTACAAATGGTGGGTTTCCAAGACCACCATTAGGTTTGATAATTCACTAGAACAACTCATAGACCTCACTGAAAGCTATCATATTCACAGTTTAATACAGCAAAAAGATACACATTAAAATCAGCCAAGGAAAGAAGTACATAGGGCAGAGCTCAGGAAGGTTCTAAACACAGAACTTCCAGTTGTCCTTTAACAGCAAAATCATAAACATTAACTCTTTCTATCAACATGCATAACAATATGCATGGAGTATTGCCAAATAGGGAAGCTCACCTGAGACTTGATGTCAAGAAATTTCATTGTGGCTCCTGGTTGCCGGTTGACTTTTAGTGCCCAACCTCCCCGGAGGTAGAACTAATACCTTAGTCTCTAGTTTCTTTAGAGAACTGATGCCACATGCCACAAAGCATCATAAATTCCACTGTTAGACTCTCTAGGGGCTGTGGTTTCTAGGTAACAAAGATTCTGTAGAGATTACCTCCCTGGAGATGAATACAAAAGCCAGAGCTTTCTTTGGTTAAGGTTCTTTACTATATATCACAAGGACATACTCTATGTTTGTTTTAAATTTAAAATTTGCTTCATGATCTAGAATATGATCTATTTGAGAAATGTTCAATGTATGCCTGAAAACATTATGTATTCCACTGTTGTTGGGTAGCACGCTCCATAAATGTTGGTAATCCTATTTGGTTGATGGTACCATTCGGTTCTTCAATATTCTTGCTGCTTGTCAGTCAAGTAGTTCCATCAATTGCTGGGAGTAAGGTATTTAAGTCCCAAGATATAATTTTGATTTGTATATTGTTCCTTTAAACTTATAACCAGGTTTTGCTTCCTGTATTTTGAAGTTCTGTTGTTGATACTAATTTTCTTTACTCTGAAGTTTGATTTGATATTATTATAGCCATTTCTATTTTCTTTTATTATTTACATTTACTATTTATATATTTTACTATTTATATATTTTTTGCTTTCAACATACCTATATTATTATGTTTGACATGACATTTTTATAGTCACCATGTAATTGGGGTCATGTTATTTATTGGTTGTGTCAATCTCTGCCTCTCACCTGGTGGTTTAGACCTGTGGTCAGCAAACTGTAGCTCGCGAGCCACATGCAGCTCTTTGTTCCCTTGAGTGTGGCTCTTCCACAAAATACCATGGCCTGGGTGAGTCCATTTTGACAAAGTGGCGTTAGAAGTTTAAGTTTAAATAATTTGGCTCTCAAAAGAAATTTCAATTGTTGTATTGTTATTTGGCTCTGTTGACTAATGAGTTTGCCGACCACTGGTTTAGACCATTTATATTTAAAGTAATTATTGATATGTTAGTGTATTTGTTCTTTGCTGCTTTCCCTCTGTTTCTTCTCTTTTTCCTTGCCTACTTGTAAGTTGATCAAACATTTTTAGAGTTCCATTTTCATTTATTTATAATGCTTTTAAACATATCAATTTAATTCAAAAGATGTAACCATTTTGTAGGTCAGGAATTTGAGAAAGCTTTGGCTAAGGAGTTATTGATTGGGGTCTGCATTTGGTTCCAGTTGGGTGCCAGTGGGCTCCAGTCATTTGAAGAGTTGGGTGATCATTTGGAACTTAGCTGGGGCTAATGACCAGGACTACACCAAGACTCTAGCATTATGCTCTCAGTATGGGTGGCCTTCTTGGATGGAAACTCCATTTCCCAGAGTTAGAGTTAAAATACTCATTTGGTACCCTTTTAAATTTCCTCTTTAGTATGGATTATTTAGTGTTGTATAAGGAGTAAGAGATGGCTAAAGTCATTTTTACAATAATTTCATTTGAAAAGTTCTCATCTAATATAAACTTTCTGGTGTTGTGTAAGATTTGAACTATGACTAACTTCCACATTCATCATTTCTATATGATCAGTAAGATATAGGCCATAGGTAAAGGTATGCCCTACACCATTTTATTCATCGTTTTTTTTATCCAGTTAGAATTCTCTAATGTTGAGCAAAGAAGATGCTAGGTGCCTCCCTTTTTCTAATATAACTTTCCGATTTCATATAAGGCATTATTGTGGCTAAAGGTAATCTCACATTTATTACATTTGCCTGTTATATTAAAATTTAGGCTGTGGTTAAAGACTTTGTACATGCATTATATTCAAATTCACAGTTTTCACAACATTCACAGTGTCCCTCTACTATGACTTCTCTGATTTGAATCATTACTATACTGATAATATTCAGGTTTTTTTCCCCCTCTTCAGAACAAATTATCTCATACTGTGAAAGTGATGAGTTGTTTGGTAATATCTATCAAAGCCACCAAATATAGAAATGCCTCAGGACCCAGAAATTTCACTCTGTATGTATATACACGAGGGAAATAAATATATGTATATCTAAAGACAAATATATTCACAAAGGCATTACTTATTATGACCCTAATCTGTAAACAAAGAAAACTCCACTAATAGATTGGATGTGTTGTGATATATTTATATAATGAATAATAAAATTCTATACAGAATAAAAATACATGAATTTCTGCTACATGCATTAATGATGAATTTTAGAGACATAATAATGAATGACCAGGGTGACTACACAAAGTCAAATATGAAAAAAATACACGATATATAATCTAATTTATATAAAAGTTAACAATAAGTAAAAACTATAATGTTAGAAATTAGAACGTTGGTTAACTCTGAGGAGGTAACAATTTTTATTCAATATTTGCAATGAGAAATACAATTTACACCTCCTTTCTTTTTAAAGTTGTTTGTTCACAGTGTGGTTCACATACCAACTGTATATTACTGGTTCACAATAAGGTAGGTATTAAAATAAAAAGCAACTTTAAATATGTGTAGCAACTTGACAGAGGAATTTTATATCTGATGAATCTAACAATAGAAAACTGGGGATTGTATTTTCAATGACTTTTGTTATTTGTCTAGTAATTATTTTGTGTGTATGTTTTATAGGCTAGTAAGCAGTAAGTAAATATGTGATATAGTATTTTAAACTGTTGACTATTATTACACTTGCAAGCAACATCATATACTGGGTTTACTATGACTTTAAAAGTTTTTACTAAAAGAAGAGTCACATCCTTTACTATATTCCAATGATTTCTACTTTGTGAGTTTTCTGATGGCCAATGAGGTTTGACTTACAACTGAAGAACTTACTACATTCTTTACATTCATACAATTTCTCTCCAATGTGAGTTTTTTGATGGCGAATGAGGTTTGATTTCCTACTAAAGGCTTTCCCACACTGAAGACATTGATTGGATTTCTCTCCTGTATGTATTCTCTGATGAACAGTGAGGATTGCCTTCTGACGAAAGGACTTCCCACATTCACTACAACTATAAGGTTTCTCCCCTGTATGAATTCTTTGATGGAGAGTGAGAGTTGTCTTTTGACAGAAGGACTTTCCACATTCATTACAAATATAGGGTTTCTCTCCTGTGTGAGTTCTTTGGTGTACAGTGAGGGTTGTCTTCTGGATAAATGCCTTCCCACATTCATTACATTGATATGGTTTCTCTCCTGTGTGAGTTCTCTGATGATCAATGAGGTATGACTTCTTTCTAAAAGCACTTCCACACTGAGTACAATCATAGGCTTTCTCCCCTGTATGTATTTTGTGATGCCTGGTGAGGGTTGCCTTCTGGCGGAAGGATTTCCCACAATCCATACAAATGTAGGGTTTCCCCTCGACATGTGTTTTCTCATGAAGAGTGAGAGCTGTCTTTTGACGGAAGGCTTTTCCACATTGACTGCAAACATAAGGTTTCTCACCTGTGTGAATTCGCTGATGCTCAATGAGATATGACTTCCTTCTAAAGCTATTCCCACAATAAGAACAATGAAAGGGTTTCTCTTCTGTTTCAGATCTCTGATGTATAATAAAAATGGACTTCCTGCAGAGGAAATTCCCATATTTGCTATATGCATGGGCCTTCTTCTCCATATAATTCTGTGGATGGACACTGGGATTTGACTTTTCAATGAAAGGCATTCCATCTTTATTATATTCAAAGAGTCTTTCTTTTCTATGAGTTCCAGTATGTGTAAATAACATTTCTTTCATTAGGAAGGAATTTTCACATTCATGTTCAAATGATTGCTCGGGAGTTTGAACCTTCTGATGTTTAATAAGCTCTTGTTTATTACTCAGACTCCTTTCCGTTTGTTTATAGAGATTTTCTGTAGTATGAATTTTCACATGCTTTTTACTGAGAAGTGATTTCTCCCATCCATTATTCTCACCAAACTTTTCTTTTACAGGGCTTATATTTCTAATGACTGATTCTGAAATATTTTTCAAAACCTTTCCATCAAGTTTATATTCATGTAGTGTTGTTTCTGAAATAATATAGTTCTTGCCTACAGTAAGTGTCTTCCCAAAAATATTATTTCTTTCCTTAATTGGTCTTTCATGGTTGCTAAATACAACTGGTCTAAAATGCCTATCTTGGTACTGTTTAAACTTCATTAAAACATCTTCAGCTTTCCCATCTTTTTCTAGAAAAGAATAAAATAAACAATACCATAAATTTTGATATAAATGTTATCAATTAGATGTATATACAAACAATCTATTGTGGTACTATCTTTCTCATTATTGTGATGTTTAGAAAGGCCAAAATAAATTACCTCTTAGTAGACAAAATGCATGGAACTTAAACACATATCCTACTATTCTGTTAAAATGAGGAATAATTGGCATAAGCAAAAAACACTCATATCTTTGACATATAGTAAATATAAATTGCATCAAGTAGGTCTGATTAATATAAGGACAAGTAAGCAAAAAATGGTGTAAAGTGGCATTATTCTTGGAACATGCAGGTTTAGAGATGATGAAGTGAGCCTATTAAGAGCACTAACCAGTAAACAAGGAAAACTGTTCAGATGGATATTAAAGTGTATACACTTATTTCCTCATGCATAAAAAGGTGTTATAAAGATGTCATTTGCTATTTATAGCTAATAAACTTTATCAAGCACTCATTTCATTATTTTTAAAGAAACACTAATCTATATCTAGGTCCTAGCTCTCCATACAACTGATTTATTTTTTCTTGAAAGGGAAGAATTAGAAAAACATTTTCATTAGGAATTATAAAATAAAACAGAGGACAAAGCATCCTTTCAAATGAACATAATCACTGATTGCTTGTTATATCAGTGGGGGGGATGATCAATAACTAAATTCTCCTGACCATCAATTTTAATTGTCCCTCCTTTCAATTTGCTGAATTACTTTTTCAGTGTTAGAAAAAGATGGGTTCAAGTTTTCCTCCCAATGCAGTAACATGCCTTAAACTCTGCTATTCCCTATTAGGACCGTGAAAGACTGGATTCTTCAGTATATGTGTATAGCACTCACTCATTGACCTTACTTATCATCCTATACTAGAGGCCCAGTGCACCAAATTGTGTGTGAGTCAGGTTCTTAGGCCTAGCCTGTGATCAGGACTATGTCAGATGCCCTATAATACCCCATGGCACCCCTCAGCACTCGCCGATGCCACCCTGTGATGCTCGCTTTGTTTGCCTCTTCCACCACAGGACGCTCTGTGAAGCTCCCCGCCCTGCAACAGTCCTTGATGACGAGCAACAGTCCTCTACCGCCTCCATGACACCCTGTAATGCTTGTTGCTGTGCGCCTGCAATACTCCACGAAGCTCCCCACCCCGTAAAGCTTCTTGACACTTGCTGCTGCCGCCCTGCAATGTGAACAGTCCCACAAAGCTCTGCACTGCTTGACTCTGCTACCCTGTGAAGCTCAATGCTCCCTGCCACGTGACTGCTCTACGATGCTCTGGGAAGCTTCCTACCCCGTGATGCTCTGTGATGCTCTTTGCTCTTGCCCTGCAATGCTCCTTGATGCTCTTCGATGCCCTGTAACTATTCTACAACAACATTCCATGAAGCTCTCTGCCCCACGATGCTTGTCATTGCTCACTGCTAGACACTCATCACCACTGGCCATCCACAGCCCACTACCACTCAACAGTTCCCAGTCCCGTTCTGCTGTTACCCAACCCAGTTCTTATGTTTCCCTATTGGCCATCCAATGATGGATGCACCTCATAGTGACCGGTCGTTTGGTTGTCATAATCATCACCGACACTGGCTTTTTATATTATAGACTAGTGGCCTGGTGCATGAAATTTGTGCACTGGAGGGTGTCCCTCAGCATGGCCCATGCCCTCTCCTACCTGAGACCCCTCAAAAAAATGTCCTACTGCCGGATTACAGAGATCAGGTCTAAACTGGCAGTCAGACATCCCTCTCGCAATCCAGGATTGCTTGCTCCTAACCGCTCATCTGCCTGCCTGCCTGATTGCCTCTAACCACTCTGCCTGCCTGCTGCTTTCCCCCAACTGCCCCCCACCACTGGTTTGCTCGCCCCCAAATTCTGCCCCCCTCCCTCGAGGCTGATTATCCCCAACTGCCCTCCCTGCTGGCCTGCTCATCCCTAACTGCCCCTTGCTGGTCTGCTCACCCAAATGTTCCCCCTCCTTCCCCCCATGACCTGCTCACCCCCAACTGGCCCCCCTGCTGGTCTGTTTCCCCCAACTGCCCCCCACTGGCCTGATCACCCCTAATAGCCCCCACCACTGGCCTGATCACCCACAACTGCCTTCCCCTCTTGGCCTCTAATCACCTCTATCTTGGCCCTGTCACCATGGCTTTTGCAGAAGAATGTCCAGAAGGTCTCCTGGAAGGTCTTCCAGTTGAATTAGCATATCACCCTTTTATTAGTATAGATAGAGGCCTGTTTCATGGGTGAGGGTCGGATGGATTGCCCTGAAGGGTGTTCCAGATCAGGGTGGGGGTCTCCTGGGGGTGTGGGGCAGCCTAGGCGAAAGGCCTGTGGTGGTTTGCAGGCCAGCCATGCCCCCATAGGTCACTGCTTGGGGGCCATGGCCATCCTAGGTGACGGGCTGAGGACTATTTTCAACTGGCCACACCACCTTCAGGGTTGGGGTGCCTGGCCAGCTTGAGTGAGGGACTGATGGCTGTTTTCAGGCTAGCCATGCCTCCCAGCGGGGACTCTTATTCCATGGGGGCATGACCAGACTGGGTAAAGGGCTGAGGGCCATTTTCAGACTGGCAACACCCCCTTCAGAATGGGGGGTCCTGCTGGGGTGCCTGGCCAGCCTGGGTGAGGAGCTGATAGCTGTTTGAAGGCTGGTCAAGCCCCCCAGCAGGGACCCTCACCCAATGGGGTATGGCCAGCCTAGGTAAGGGGCTGAGGGCCATATTCAGGCTGGCCACACTCCTCGGTGACCCAGGCTTCCAGCCCATCTTTGATTGGAGGTTAGGGCAGACTGGAATCCTGGGTCACTCCCAGCCACTCCTTCAGCAGTGGCCAGGGAAGGTGGAAAGCTTGGCTTCCTCCAATGCCAGGGGCAACCCAAGCCTCCTGCTTGCTTTAGCTCCATGGCCACTGCCATCTTTGTTGGGTTACTTTGCATACTCACTCTTAGTCAGCTGGTGGGTGTAGCCGAGAGACAGTCAATTTGCATGTTTCTCTTTTATTAGTGTAGATGATAAAGAGCTAATATGCTAATTAGACCAGACAGTGGAACAACCTTCCAGAATGACCAGTGGATGGGACAAGCTGCAGGGATGTAAGACAATGGGGCTGTAAGGACCTACTCATACACAAATTTTGTGTATCAGACCTCTAGTTTTTCTTATAAATTCTTGGCAAATTTTACTACTGTAATCTTACTACAACCCACATCTGGTGGAGCAATTTTAAAGATGGGTTTATCTTACCCACAATTTTCTATCTTATTTGCAATAGCCTTAAACTGAAAACAGCCCAATTATCTATGAAAAGGTAAATAGGCAATATTGTGTCATGTAATTATATGTTAATGCTACTTAGCAATAAAAAAAGGGGGGGGGGCAGAGAAAACCTGATGACAAAAAGGATGAAGCTAAAACATTTTTCAGAGTGAAAGCTTTATGCAAAAGAGTAAATATTGCACAATTCCACTTATGTGTAATCCTAGAACATGCAAAACTAATCTGTATTGGTAACAGGAGTTACATTGCCTTCCTAAGAACCTTAATACTCTTCAGGAACATGCTACTACTCAATTTATCCAAGTCTTCACATGTTCTTTCTATCCTTTAATGTCTAATTTCTCTGAAATTAGAATACAATTAGAATCTAGACTACCTATTTCAAGAAACATTTCAACAGTCTCAATGAGGGAAAAAGGAGACATCTGGAACACTTTCAACAATAAAGAATTTAAATAAAATAAAAAAAAGACTACTAGTATATTTCAAAGATTAAAAATGGCAGTAGAGTAGGAGGATGCTCCACACACATGTTTCCAAAAACAAGCTGGAATTATAGCTGAAAGGCTTCCTGCAAAATCAATGGAAAACTCACAGGAGAGAACCATGATACCCAAGGACTGAAGGTGGAGATAGCACAGAGACTGGTAGGAGGGGCAGAGGTGTGAAAGGGCTGGCCAGGCACCCACAGATGTCAACTGAAGTCCCATAGAGATATCTCAGCTGTGGGGGTGGAGGGTTCTACTGAGAACTCTGGGATCTAATACCTAAGCTGGGATCCCCAGCAGAGAGCACCAAACAGAGGAGGGTACCAACATACTGTTTAGCTGTGAAAAACAGTGGGCGCTGTCTTCCAGGGAGTGGCAGCTGAAAATTATGGCACCTTCTTAAAGGTACAAGGCAAAAAAAATTCCCTGTGGAGCCACCCACCTTATGCTCTATCAGAGGGAGGATGAAGTGGACTGGGGATGTGAGAGCAGAACCCAGGACTGGGGACTTGGGGAGATAAAGCTCAGCATGCAGACACCCCAAGTTTTTGGTCTGAGTCATCTCCTCATACAGTGGAGGATATATTTTTCAGACAGACATTTGCCTTGCCTGGGGGGAAGACAGTCAATACAAGCTACTGGAAAACACCTTGCCCTGAGTCCACTTAAGAGATTAAAAGTGACAATTAGCTTATAAGCAGAAGCAACTGTCCCACCATGTTGAAAAAAACTTGCCACACCTGACGATGATTGCCTGGGGGAAATTCAAGTCAGAATGTAGATAGAGGTGGTCTCTGGAGGCTTTGAGTCTTTGCTGAATCCAATTTGTAAGAAACAGCCTTTAACTCTGTCCTGCATTAGAGATTGAGAAGTATAGATGATCTACCTAAAACATAGTCACAAACCCAGACAGACAACCAAAATGAGGAGACAAAGGAACAACTCTTTAATGAAATAATTAGCAAATTCTCCAGAAGCAGAGATAAATGAAGCAAAGATAAGAAACTTATCTGAAATAGAGTTCAGAGCAATGATGGTAAAAATGCACATCAGCATGAAAAAAGATATAGCAACTATGAAAAAAGAACAGTCTGAGATAATGACATAACACAAATTAAAAACAAAAACAAAAACCACAACACATTGGAAGAAATACACAGCAGATAAGGGGAAGCTGAGGATCAAATCAATGAATTAGAAGAGAGT